TAAGGAAGATCAAGAAGCTTTGCGCGAATAATCTCGATAAAAGCAATTCCGAGCTAAAACGCAGAGGTCAAGATATTGAAAGCTCAAATCCAAGACCAACGAACTCGGACAAACCAGATCCGAGATGACGTAGAAGCACCTCGAGATCCCGAGCCTCGGAATACCGAGCTGAGGGGAAACTGTTACGGATATGAATATCATATCCCAACTACCCACCCAAGAATCTACTAAGAGATAGAGTCATAAGTCTCTCAACAACTCTCAACAGCAAAAAGGCATAAGATAAGGATCACATCCCAACAGAAAGGGAGTTGAATCCTATTGCACTTGGGGAAGCTCAAAAGGCCCAAGCCTAAGAAGGTAATCCTTATAAATAAGAGCCTAAGGACCCCAGGTAAACACTTTTGACCTATTTACTAATACTGTCCACACTGAGCACACACCCACCCCTTGGCTATAAGCCTATTGCTTGCGCGCAGTGATTGGGACCTCGGCTATAAGCCTAGTATACACTTGATATACATTATCTCTGAGCGCATACCCTACGGTATAGCAATATGGTCTATCCAGGACCTAACAGGCGCAAATTTTGAATTATGTCTGCAGCCTCGTACGTGATTTTTGTAGGTTGCCAATGGATTTGAAACATGCTCATCAAATATAATTCCTAAAGGGAGAGCTGGAATAAAAGCTCGAAATATATACGATATAGATTGAGCATTTGCACTCTTCCAAGACTGACCACCATATCACGTATCATAATCTGGAAAATATCTGTGGTACTATCGTTACACTGAGTACTGTGTATGACTCTTGTTTAAAATAAAATTATAAATTAGGTATCACGTAAAATAATAACAGTTTGAGCATTTGCACTCTTCCAAGACTGACCACCATATCACGTATCATAATCTGGAAAATATCTGTGGTACTATCGTTACACTGAGTACTGTGTATGACTCTTGTTTAAAATAAAATTATAAATTAGGTATTACGAAAAATACATAGGCATAATTTTTTTCACTCTCTCTTCAGGAAACATGTCAATACATGTGTTGTGTTTTTATTGGATGGATATAGGTACTTTGGAAGTATATTAGAAATTTCATATAATCCGATAAGCTTATGGTTCGGTTGTCAACATTTCTCATTTAGTCATATGATCTGTTTTGGACAGGCCTTTAGGTCCAGCATTCTAGGCCGACCATTGGGCCCAATAATAGATGTTGAACTTCTGCACTTTTAAAGTGGGATAAATGTTTTCTTATCGCACACTTAATTTCCTTCTCCTATGCACGCACGCCTTACACACAGGTAATGGGACGCTATCTCACTGGGGGAGCCCACGAGACAAAATAGTTAAGGCTCATGATTCTCATACTAGGGATCAGCTTCCCTTATAAATACTTCTCTTCTATGAAATACCGGGAACACCGACCAAAATACCATTTTTCATCAAGTTTTTTACTTAAATGCCACGCGAACAGTGTTATTTTTCAATATGCCACGTGGGCAAGTTGGTTGGGCACTGTAGCGAACTCAGTTTGCTGACGTGTCACGTTTCTAGTGGATAACAAGTACCAAGTTAAAAACAAATACCAAGTTCGCTACATTAATATGTATTTTAACCAAGTTCGCTACCCCGTGTAGCGAACTTGGTGTCCATTTAAAATGCGACACGTCAACACTGAGTTCGCTATAGTGCCCAGCGAACTTGCCAACATGGCATATTGAGAAATAACACTGTTCACGTGGCATTTAAGTAAAAAGCTTGGTGAACTGTGGCATTTTGGTCACTGTTCCTGAAATACCGATACTCCGAATTTTTTTTCCAACGTATCGGATACGCGTATCGGAAACATATTGTATCGTATCGATGAATTATTGGTCGTATCGAAAACGTATTTGGAACGTATCGAAAATGTTGTGTCAGAGTCGGTGCTTCATAGCTTCTCTTTATCATTGTAGAGGCACATTCTACACACTGCACACTACACACCATTGTTGTTACTCTACTACATTTCAACCTCAGAACCACTATGCCCTTCATCTTCCTTTGATTCTCAGTGTTCGCCTTAGATTTAAATGGTGACTCCATTCTTAAGCTTTAGTTCATACTATTGCCTCACTAAATAATTGTTATATTGATATATTGACATATTGACCCCTAGAGAAAAACAAATCTAAGACCAAACACTTTAACAAATCATAATATAATGGTAGATTGAGAGCACTTGATTGAGAATAATTTCCTTTATCCGCTGTTTTATTAGCCTTTCAATATAGTTTACTAGAAAGTTAAAATGATTTGATCTTGCCAAAAAGGTGGGCAAGTTCGCTAAGGGGTTGGTCCATACCCCACAATGGAGTGGGTTCAAACCCCGCTGGCCAATGTGAGGACTTTATCGGTAGGTGATATAATCTCTTACGAAAATCCTCAAAGAGTAGGGGATCTTTCCTGATCCTAGTAGGATACCGGTGTTCTAACCTCACTTAAACTTTTATTTACAAAAATAAAAATGATTTGATCTTTATTATATAATTATCACATAGCATAATGAAAAGCAAAAGCTAAAGGTTATGTGTAAGTGGGTTTCAAAGCTAATTTAAATTTAAAATCATGAACTACTCGTAAGAGTTTAATTAAGTCCAACTATAGATCTTAAGAATAGGATAACCTTATTTTAAACTTGAGATAAGACCAATTTGAAATCTGAATTCAAAAGACATACTTCAAATTTTAAATTAAGATCAACCCTTTGACTAATTTAAATTTTGAACTTGGGATAAGATCTTATTTAATCCTTATCCTATTCAAATTCAAATTCAAAATTTAAATTAGGCTGAAATTTGATTTCATCAAATATTTAGTCAATTCAAATTAAAATAATATTTGATCTCATCAAATTAGAATTGCCTTTTTTAGGCCCACTGGGAAGAGTAACTAGTGTCTCCTAGCCCCTAGTTACCTAGTGCCTACATGGGCCCAAGCCCATGTGTTCAAAATACACGTATTCATCATTCTTATTTGATCTCATCTCATAAGATCCACACTATGCAATATATATAGGTCCTGAATATATATAATTACACTTATAATTATTTTTAATTTTTTTTTTGTAATATATTTAAATATATGTGACTTTGAAATATAAATAAGGCATAACTTATTATATTTAAGGGTTCATTTTTTCTGCCATGACTCCAGATAACTTATATGCATTAAGCCCAAAACGACGTCATCTTAAGGCAAAAATTAAGGTGTTTTGTAATTTTAATTTATTGCAGGGTTGTATTAGTCTTTATCATTATAATTTTTTAATCTTTCAATCCAAAATGATGTCGTTTTAGTGTGAATGCATATAACTTATCTGCAGTCACTGTAGAAATATTATTCTGTATTTTTAAATATAAAAACATATTACATGTTGATATAATATGTTGACAGTTACAGCTGGCAAATTTGTCTCCGCCCATCCCATCCGCAAACATATTTTTTTCTTCTTATATTTACTATCTAACAAGCCTGGCTTTGTGTGGCTAAGTGTTTGTTAGAATATTAAACGTAATAACTAAAATATTTGTCAACTTTTCATCTAATAAATATGTCAAAAATACACACTTCAGAAAGTCAATTCAGAGACAACTATAGAAAACATTGTTCATTGTTACAATTTAACATGAAAAAGACAAAATAGATCACATTAAACCTCCAAGTAGGGGACAAAAAAAACACAATACTAATTATATGCTCTAACTAGATTAATAATAGGTACAATCTATGAAGCACTGACACTTCAAAAATTTTGACGTGTCGTGTCCGACACTTCCTGACACTCACCGACACTCCGACATTCCAATACTCGTTGCAAAGACTCAAAAAAGGTTCAAAGGTTAGGTTGCGTTGCATTTTGAGTTCCAATTATTAGATTCGTTAGATTACGATTACGATTACGATTTTATTGAGTTTAATATAAACATTTAAGATATATTATGTTTCTTTGCAAAATTGATAAGTATTATAAGTTTAGCTTTATTTTTTGTTAAATTATTGAATACTAAATATAATATACACTATATAAATTAAAATTATTATATAATATCAAAACGTGTCCTAACGTGTCAAAATTTATTATTTTTTAGAATTAACGTGTCGGAGTGTCGTGTCATGTCGTATCCTGTATCCTGTGTCAATGTCGGATCAATATAGGTTACAATTATACTGAAATGAGCCACTTACTTTTAGTTTGCTCTCCAAGTATCCAATTGACTGTTAATTCTTTGCTGGGTGTTTCAATTATTTTATTTTAAAAAATATTTATATTCTTTTTAACCTTTTAATTTAAGAGAATTTTAAAATAAAAATAATTATTTATTATAATTCACATGTCATCAAACAGTTAGTTTCAGTTACACTATATTTTTATATTTTATTTAATTATTATTTTTATGCCGCTTTTGAAAATTTTTTTACAAAAATATTTATACAGTTACAACAGATATATTATTTGCATTTATTCGTAAAACGACGTTGAATTATAATTATAAAGATTCTAATAATCTTGAAATAAATTAATTATAAAATCATCACTCTAAAACGACATTGTATTATACTCGCTACACATAATTTTAAATGCAGAAAAAGCATCGAAAATGTAAACACTAGATAAAACCAAGCCATTACCTGGTCAGTGAATGCTTGCTTGACCTGAGAAAACCAAACAGCCTATACACTCTGAGGATTTTCCCGAGAAAATTTTTAAAATGAGGTGCGCTTTCTGAACAGATACATTTTATTTTCTTTGCTACTGTTTGTTTCCAGAGATAGTGAGTAAACAGAAAATTTTAGAGTACATGCGTACTGTGTTTTTTTTTTTTTTTACTTATTATTATTTTTATTATTTAACTTGAACAAATTCCGCAGTACTTTGTTGCTGTCGATTTCATTTAGCTATTTTTTCTTCTTCATCTTTTTTTTTTTGTCAGTTTATTTTTTAAAATTTAATTAGGGTTTTAGCATTTTGGTTGAGAAATCTTAGATTCTCTTGGAGCTATAATTTCGAGTTCATTGTTATATTTAATTCTTGGTCTTCATGTGGTTTGTTACATAGCGATGATTTCATAGCCCTTTTGTTTTTTTCTTCTCAGTTTCCTTCTTTCATATAGGGGTTTAGTTTACTACCACTTTCTGTGTTATTTTTTATTGCTAATTTCATTAGTAAACTAGGAACACTCTGATTTGGGGCTGTAATATGTTGCTGTTAGCTTAGCGAGAAATAAAGGAAATGTTATGTTCGTAATTTTGTTCCTTTTTTTGGTTTTCAAAATTTGGAAGCATCCTAGTTGTGGTACCCTGTTCATCGATGATCTATATGACGAATTTTGATTTGGTCTCAGAAGTGCATTTCTTGTTTTGATTCTATTCTTAAAGTTACATCTCGATTGATGGGAATCTTCTGATACAGATCATATATCTATAGAGCATTAGTCTTAAGGTTGATGCTCATTTTAGATGTATGGTATTGTTTTTCATGGATCAAGAAAACATTTTTCATTTGATATGAGCTTCCTGGTCAAAATTTACTAAGGAAGTCAAGGACAAATTAATGCTGAGTTAAAGGTTTGAGGTAGTAAATAAATTGTTTCAGTGTTAGAATCTTATCTAGTGTCAAATTTGATGGACTCAAATGTGTTCTATCCAAGAGGTTATTCAAGTATACTTGGAATTAAGTGAGGCCAACATATTGCGTGGAAGTAGGTCAGCATGTAATTTTTTGGTTCTCTTTTGTACTTTTCTTTAATTTTTTTCTGTCTTTTTCGGTTGGGTAGTCATACATGGATTATTTTTCAGTTTTCTTGTACTTCATTGCTGAGAAGTTTGGCTTGGATTAATTTTTAGATGAAGAATCAGAGAAGATAAATTTTTAATTTTGGTATAACAGCGTTATCCCTTTTTGTTGGGTAAAGCTACATGGATCAATCAATGCTATTGAGGTTTATCAAGAACCAAATTTATGGTTTCTCACTTTCTTTTACTGTTTTCTTAAGTCTTTCTTTGACCCATTTAGGCCTCATTTTAGTGAACTTGTTTTCTGCTGATATGTACTTTTATACTTCAATTAACACTTATGAAGCTTGTTGGTCATGTTGGATGAGTTTTGAAAACAGATTTTGAAATTCAAATAAGTTATTGCGGGCTTATTTTCATAGGCTAGAAATTCAAGCTTATGAATATAAGCCTTTGTGAAAATAAAAAACAGTGTTAGTTGTTTTATAATAATTTATGAAACTTGTATGATGTGATCATCAATTTTCTTTTAGCATAAAAAACGAGGAGTTTATGGTACTCACGCATATTTAGAGCATATCATGATTGAAGTTATTTGTAATATCACGTGCTGGCCTTGGCTTCTTGTTTGGATGTTGCATTTTCTCTTCCTAGCTATTTTTTTACTAGGGACAACCCTCTTCTAATCCTTGCCACATTTTTCGAGTGTACTTCCAGTGTAAGCTTTGCTTTATGGGCATACATGTACTTCCAGTGTACTTGTATGATGTGATCATCAATTTTCTTGTAGCATAAAAAACGAGGAGTTTATGGTACTCACGCATATTTAGAGCATATCATGATTGAAGTTATTTGTAACATCACGTGCTGGCCTTGGCTTCTTGTTTGGATGTTGCATTTTCTCTTCCTAGCTATTTTTTTACTAGGGACAACCCTCTTCTAATCCTTGCCACATTTTTCGAGTGTACTTCCAGTGTAAGCTTTGCTTTATGGGCATACATGGTCTGTCTTTTGACAGCTAGAGCAATGTGAATCTCGAGCACAGATGGAGCTTCCACTGGAAGTACACTTGAAAAATGTGAGTGTTTCTGTAAGAGAGTTTGTCCCTAGCAAAAGTGTTATAGGAACGAGCAACAGCACATTCCATGGCCAGGATCACATTTCCATTGTGATTTACCAAACAACGTAAATCAAGTATTAGCTTAATGATCATAATTATGTAATGTATTGGTTCCATCTTTTGTTGTTGTGGCATTGTGACTTAATATATGTGTAAGTTGTGTTGTGTGGAATCATGTTATTCTTTGTTATTTTGTCATTTGGGGACATTATACGAAGAGGAAGATTTTCAATGTCAGATCGTTAAATTTATTTCTATTTTATAATACAGCCGCCATCCTCCTGTCAAATGGGCGCAGAGGTCTGATGAACTCTACATAACAGTTGAGTTGCCTGACGCCCAGGATGTGAAGCTAAAACTGGAGCCAGAAGGAAAATTTTACTTCTCTGCAACTGCTGGTGCAGAGAAGATTCCCTATGAAATTGACATTGATCTGTTTGACAATATTGATGTAAATGTAAGGGTAGCAAGTTGATGGTTTGTTAATCATATATTTTCCACATTTGTTTGGTAATTGGTGTGTTAATTTGTTTGGTAATTGGTTTGTTAATCTGCATTCTCAGAATAGCAAAGCTAGTCTTGGTTCAAGAAATATCTGCTACCTAGTGAAAAAGGCTGAGAACAAATGGTGGGACAGATTGTTGAAGCAAGGAGGGAAACCTCCTATCTTTTTGAAAGTTGATTGGGACAAATGGGTTGATGAAGATGAGGAGCAAGATAATAAGCGTTAGTTGTTTTCATATTTTCTCTGAATTTAAGGTTTCTTTTTCCATCGGTTTGTCTCATTTGCATATTGTTTTTCAGCTGCATCTGATATGGACTTTGGCGACATTGATTTTTCCGTAAGCAATATGCCCCAAACGATAGTTTAATACTTATATTTTTAGTTAGATGGTCTCCTTGACACATAAATTCACTTTCTCTGCAGAAGTTGAACATGGGAGGGGGTGGAGGAATGGATTTTGATGCTGCAGGCGATGATGACGGTAAGAGTACTCATCTTAGTTTTGTCAATGTTTATGGGATACAGCATGATTAATCTTTCTTATTTAGGTATAAATCTTTTTATGAACTTATGTTTATTTTGCTTTAGTAATTGACTAGAGTCTCTTGGTCTTTTATTTTTCAGATGATGAGAGTGACACAGAAGATGAAGTTGCAGCACAAGCATCTACTGGCAATGAACTAGATACAAAAGACACCGCGGGTGGCGATCCAAGCGATGCACCTCATAAAGCATAAATTTTTTGCGAATGGTGAACCGATTCATAGTTAGTTGACATGTTCACTTCGTTTTCAGCCTTTTGATCCTGGACCTTTTTAACAAGTTTGGCATATACGTGTTGGCGTTACATAATACTATTCGATAATTATATGTCTTTGTTTCGGTTAGAGTGGATAATTGCACCTCATCTGAGGTATGACGAACGTTATGCATAATACTGTTTTAAAAAACTAACTGACACAAGATCACTGTGAAAATAGAGACGGATATAATAAGATGATTTAGATAGGAGAAGAAAAAATATATAAGAACCTATTATGTATTAAATATGTGCTAGATAAGTAATTTGATGAAATTATGTTATCATGTCATGTGCATATGAAATATATAATATAATATTTTATTCGATCATAAGTTAGATAGGAATATGTCATTCTAATTTTCAATTGACATGAAACAAATAATGCCTTGTAGTTTGATAGGCATATGTTATTTTAACCTTTGTTTGCGACAATCAATTTGAGATATAATATAAATTGATAAAAATAGTTTTCAAAAGGAATTTTATATATTTAAAAAAAAATATTTATTAAATTTTTTAATTCATTTATACCTAATTGACTCATTTAAAATTGTTGTAAATATTACAGGGGAAGGCACTAGGGGTGTAAATGAGCTAGGCCGGCCTACAGGGACCTACGGCTTAGCCTATTTTAGGTCAGACTTGGTCTATTATAAGTAGTAAAATTGAATAGGCTTAGGCTTTTTAAAAAATATATTTAGAAAACATGTCATAGACTTTTTTGTACATGTCGGGCCTATAAGCTTACAGGCCAGTTTATATCATATTATTTATTTAAAATATAATAAATAAAATTAGTATTAAATAATTTTGAATAATAAAATAATATTAAAATTATTAATTTAATGGTTGAATGTTTAATAGGTTTAAACAGGCTAACAGGCCTAAGCCAAAGCTTTTATTTTTTGAATATATGTCAGGCCAGACTTGTAATTTGGAGCATACACAGGCCAGACTTGTAATTTGGAGCCTAAACAGGCCAATAAGCCAGGCCCTACCCAATGCTTTTTACACAGGCTTGGCCTATTTAAGCCAAAGCCTAGCCCAGCCCAATTACACCCCTAGAAGGCACAACCAATTAGTAAATATTACAGGGGAAGGAACAATCGATTAATGTTAATTCATTGTTACTACCAATCAATTTCACATTGATTATGTTGATTTTACGGTTATATTTATTTTCATCTTTGTATGAATTCTAGATTTTTAATATTGATTCTAAACTCATTTAATTCTGTTCTTACTACTTTTACTTAGTTTGCATTTTAGAAAATACAATTTTCATTGAAAAAGCCATTACATTCACATTCAAGAAAATAATAAAAAAAAAACTGAAAGAAATTGAATTTTTCGTTCCCAGACAACGATAACTCTTTCTTTTGAAAATTACAACCAACAAAATGGCGCCGTTGCCGGGGAGCGGTGCATGATTTAGTTTCTTTTTGAAGTTCTTTGGTATAGTTTCTTGAATTTGTGATTCTGTTACATTTTTAATTTTTGACAAGTTTTGAATTCTTTTTAATTCTTGCACTATTACAGTAAACATTCTGCCAAACCAGATTGACAAAGGAAGTTGATTGATTACTACACTATGGCAGACGAAAACAGCTCAATCCATGGGAACAATGAAAATGGGAATGGAAATGCCATAATCCCAGTGATTGAAGAGCTGCGCGTAATGGAGTATGCAATTCCATCTGCTCAAAAAGTACACTGATGCTCACAATATTCTTGAGATGATCAGTGCAAACATAATCAGCCCAAGCAAGTTCGTATATGTTTTCAAGAACAAAGAAAGGAAGCTGATTTTCAAGTAGTATCAAGTCCTCCTCAATATCACTTAGAAGCCGTGGTCTTGACAATATAGAGTCCATCTCCATCCAATCTTCGCGTCTAAAAAATCTAAGAAAAAGCTCAATTATGAAGCAAGCATCAATTAGAATCATCCTTAGGAAATCATTGCTTTCATAGTTAATAGTCTCTGCATAACAATTTCGAATTCTATTTTCCCAAGAACAAAATCCCCCACACATAGATGATTTTGAGTTAGAAACGCCTTGAGATATTTCAGTTTGAGTTTCTCCATTGGCTCAAAAATATTGTCACCGCCAGGGCCATGTGGATTGTGAAAAGGACCAATGGAAACAACCCGAGGAGTATAGGCTTGGGGATTATTTTGGCGAATTTTTGATGGAACTATAGAAATGCATTCCTCATGTATTCCAGACATGTCGGGAAGAACCACTCCTTCAAGCATATCAGTCAATACTGTCTCCAAATCTTGGTGTCCACTCTGTGAACTATTTGTTTGTCCCTCCATTTTCTTAAACCCATCAAATCCAATTGCAGGTTTAGCATGAGTCTGAAACTAGGAATCGAAGATACAACATAGGATTTATATATAAATGGTAATAGATATAATAAAAACATTTATGTGACTTCACCCGGTCAAAAGTTTTTAGAAGGGTTGGTTGCATAATATGATATGAGTCTATGACCAAGTGATTTAAAATTCCACCACCCCATTCTTCATATAAATAAATAAATAAGTTAAATTTCACATGCCCATTATCAACACTTCAAAGGTTAAAACCGCCAAAAGAATTCTTGAGTGAAGGAGAGATTGTTGGGTGACATATGATATGACAAGAACACGCAATAGATTTTAAAAATCATAGAGCATGCTAGTGGCGGAGCCAGGATTTAATTTTAGCCGGGGCCAAAAATTTGACATATCAAATTATAATTTTTTTTTCATAATTACACAAATCTATTAGGAAAAAAATTTACTTAAAATTTTCAAAGTAATAGGATCGATGTTATTTTAACAAATAATAGTTATTTATCTAAAATTTAGAATATAATATAAAATAAAATTAGTAAAGAAAGTACAAATTATATATACATATATGAAAATTTCATGTGATTTTTATGCACATTTTCATGTAATCTTTGTTAACATTATTTCATGTGATGTTAATGAAAGCTTATTTCATGTGATGTTAATGAGAATTGATTTCATGTGGTCTTTGTGAATAAAATTTTTATTTTTTATATTTTAATTTCATTTGGGCCTACAAACTTTAGTTTGCAACTTTGTAGGCCTTACAAGTCGTATTCGGTTTTTATAGTTTTTTATAATATGGCAGGCCATAAATCAAGTATTTAATAGGCTAATAGGTCAGTATAGGTTCCAAATATTTTACATAGGCTTAGTCTATCAAAGCCAAAATTTGACTTAACTTGGCCCATTTATAACCCTAGCCGTGACCTGTGAAGAACATTAACATAGATGGACAACAAACTTCACAATTAAAAAGAAATATGGAATAATCAGCGACAAATGTCTAAAATCATTTAAATGACATTGGATCCACATAAATCATTTAATTAGAGTTTAGATATTTTAAAAATTTTAAAAATACAAAAAAAGAAGAAGTTGTTAATGGATATGTATAAATTTTTTTCATACTCCATATATATACATATATATTCATTAATTTTTCTCTTTAACAGTTTCCACTAATTAATAACCAAAATAACATGAAAAATAGTTTTTTTTTCTCTCTCCACGTTAGTTGAAGTGACTGAAGAAATAGAAAAAAAGTAATTTTTCATATTATAACTATATTTTACAGGTAAGATCGTAGTGTTAAAAACTAAAAGGATACAATGTTGTGTCCTTTGAAAGGACAAACCCTTTTTCCTACTTTTAAATGTGTTTATTTGGTTTAATTGGGCCCATATTTTGAAATAGGTCAACTAATCATTTTTGTGATTAAGTTTAGAAGTCTTTCTTTTTTAAAATAATAGAAGTAAGAATAAATAATATAACTGATTAGAATAAAGCTGAAAAAAATATACAGGATAAAAAATAAAAAAAGGTAAAACACAAAAATCACCATACTATATATGTTCCTTATTATTTGTTTGTATTTAGATGATTTTTTGTTACTTTGTATTGAGTATTTGGTTTTCTATTTAGACGGTGCCAAATTATAATTTTTATCTTAGTTAATTATAATTAATTATATAATAAGTAAAATAAAAAAATAAGCAGGTGTCTTGGCACCTGTTGGCTTGGATGTGGCTACGCCACTGGAGCATGCACAGTTATAAAATTGATATAATAAAATCATAGAAACAAAAATTTCCAAATTAGAACATCAATCAATTTCCTAAAAGTTAATATTAAATGCTGTAGATATAATAAAATGTTTTTATTTATCTAATTATTGTGGCCTGGCCATTATTGGAATATAAATTCAAAGAAAAAAATTTATAAGATTATCAAGTTGTTCCTATTCTTGGAACTTGATTTTATTGTTTGTTTTATTTAATTTGTTCCGGGAATTATTAGGGTGTGTATGACAACCTTCCCCGAATGAGTTTTTTTTTTTTTTAATTTCTGTTTCCGGGAATAAAAAAGGATGAGAATTGCGTTTGATAAAATCAGTTTATTTTTTTTTTCCGGGGATGAACCGGTTTTTTTTATGCCGGGAAACAAAAAAAAGAATAAATTTTTTTTCTGCTTTTCTAATTCTGGGCAAGAGAATCAGTTTTCTCTCGCACTCAATTAGAAAAGCATGGTTCCTGATGTCCTCGAAGCGGTGGTTCCCGATTATGACTTCTTCTATATGGTTCAGTGAACCAATATTTAATCAAAAAACAAACCAATAGTGTCCTAGAAGCCACATTTGGCAACAAGATCCATGGCCATCAGTAATCGCTTCTTAGATCAAAGGGGAAACAAATATTCAAATTGATAACCCTTTCTCTGCTATCAAAACCATGGTCATTGCCATCTTCGTCATCAATGTACCAATCAGTTTTCTGCTTGGTTTGATTTTTGATTAAATATTGGTTCACTGAACCATGTTTTTCTAATTCTGAAGCATGGTTCGTGATGTCCTTGAAGCGGTGGTAGGGCTCAGTGATGGGGGAGATGTAGGCATGGAAGTCGGATCGGGTGATATCAGAGGCGGCTTTGGAGGAGGCGATGGGAGCGAATTCGGGAGGGGAGATGGCGGTGGATGAGGACCACCAGCCAACCCAGGAGGCGGCGGCGTCGGAGGAGTGAGGGTTGTTGAGGTATTGGGTTGTTGAGGTTTCTGAT